CCAAGTTCTCACAAGTCCATGGCAAAATAGTTTATATATCCGTGGTATAATAGTGTATTATGTATCGTGGATGCTGATGAGTAAATTAAAATATATTTCATAAAATAGGAATACACTCCATGAAATAATAATAAGTAGAATCAGCCCAATAAAGATTTAAATTTAGCACCTGCAAAGATTTTCAATAAGCTAATCTGTACACAAGTTGATATATACAGGGTTATGTTTGTAAATCTCTTGGCCATCATCTTAAAAGGTCATCGGAGTGGATTGTACGGGTTCGTGATGAAAATCAGTGCTTGGACTAAAGGGTTCATGCTGTCATATACCATATACAAACCACAAACCAGTACATCCGTATAATTATTTTATTTATTTTTACATTCCGCATCCACCCGAACGGGTCTTTTATAAATTCAAATACTTTTTGTATCTTTTCTTCGTCATCTAAAAGTGCGTCAGATATGTTGGAAGGTATATTATGTTTTGTTCTGGTGTCTGCAAGTTGTTACAATGTGTTTCCGTGTAAGTGATGTGTTGCATGTTTCCATGCATGTTGCATGGTTCCAGGCCTCTCATTAGGTAGCCATGGGCAAAGGCTGCATGTCCAATTCTAACACGAGTTAAAATTATTTCTTCTTTTCTGTTCTTTCTGAAAGAGGTCGTCCATGGTTAGGTATTTTTTTTAATTTCTTGGAATTAATTTGTAGATTGGTTCCACTTAAATTTTCATTGTTCATTTAGCCTTTTTTTTTTTTGCATTCCAATCTCCAGTCAGCAGTGGTCGTTAAATTGATCATTGTGGTTCCAATTGTATTTCTTCTTGCGAAGTTCGCAGTTCTGTCTGCAGATTCGTTCCCAGATATGACACGGCATCCGTATAATTGATTTTACTAAATCATACGACCTCTTAAAACATGAATGAAAAACAGTCTTCAGCAGTCTAGGTAGAAGTGCCATTAAAAAATACAATTCAACAACTTTATAATGTAAACAATGACAATTCTGTCAGCACAGACAAGGCTGTTATTTAATATAGAGAAAGGTTGTAAGACAAGGAGACTCTGCCTCCTGTAAAAGTTTTTAAAAACCTAAACTTGAAAAATTAAATAATTTATATTAATGGAAAGAGGTTCAACAAATTTAAATTTGCGGAAGATATTGTATTAATTAATTAAAAAACTGAAGATGAATTGTGAACTTTATTGGTAGAGTAAAAAAGTAGGACTGGAGATAAATTCCTCGAAAATCAAATTGCTCACCCACAGAATTCCGACAGTTATACAAGAAAACTAGAAAGAGTAGTAGTAAATAGTCAAACATCAAACGTATGGAATAAATTTTATCCTTAAAATTTATTATGAAAGTAAATTTCCCAGTAAACTTAAAGGGAAACTTTTTCGATACATGTATCATGCCAAGCCTCGCCTATAGATCCCAAACATAAGGATCTATATTTTATAATAAAGTATATAAATCTTCTTCAAATTGATGAGAAAAAATGGAGAGGAGCATATCGAATGTAAAATTAAGCGATAGGATATCAAATAAGCAACTTAGACACAGAGCCTAAGTTCAGGATATTATACATGTAGTTTAAAACCAAAATGCAAATGGGCTGCTCACATCGCACGGACAACTGATGAAAGATGTACGAAACAGTTGCCGTAATAGTGGCCATTGTATTTTAATTAATATGCCACTGTATGCTTAAAGAAGAAGAGAAAGGCAGCAGACAAGATGGAGAGATAATATAACAAATGAAGCGGCATACATATTAGGGTGAGGAATGTGAACTTGAAAGAAGATTATTCACTTAATACTAAGCTTAATTCAGAAATTCTTAAAGTTTCTATCTTTATTTATGTAATTTGTATTTTTGGTTTTGTTTATCACTTATACTTATACTCTATTGCTATTATTTAAAATTTAGAAAAGTATTGTATCAGATTATTATTTGCGAATAAAGTAATAGATTAGTTTGGATACAGATAGAAATATAAATATTAAATAAACGAAGGAGATGGTCCGGGGTTGCGGTCATAAATAGGCTAAATAGTGGTAAAACTATTTTATTGAAAGCCAACGTTTCGACCCGACTTTTCAGGTCTTCATCAGGGAGGTGTGTTCATCTAGGAGTTTCATTAAGAACCCCGGACCATCTCCTTCCTTTATAATGCAACGGTCAACTATTAAATATTCAATAAATATTAAATACATAAAATACAAGCAAAAGTGATTTCCGAAACCTCCTACACATCTTAGAAAAGCGAATAGAACGTATTATTATATTGAAGAACATATTTTTAGTCTCGAGGGAATTAAGTTTTTTTTTTTTGTTTTTGTACTTCCCTACCTCGCCTTTTAGGCTATACGGGATTTTCCTGGGCCGGAGGGCGAGGGCGGGGAATTTAAAACCCCCTCTGGCACCTGGATGCGAAATAATACATTTATAATCTTCTCAAATCTCTTATCCGGTTGCCAAGAAACACGTGCAGTGCACACGCTTTAGCCCATTCGGCCACCCCGCCCCCAAAAATGAGGGAATTAAGTTGAGGACTGGGGTAAAAATGAGTACTAGTTGAAAAAAATATTAAATACTAGTGATGCGGCTGGAAAAGTGACACTGGGATCCCCTGGAGTACTGCTTTGTCTTCCACATGTGGGGGAAAAGCCTGGTTCGGAGATTCCTGGGCGAACGTATATATTGTATAGAGGTATGAACGTGTTTAGCAGTTTTTATTCTATTTTATTTGTTTATTTTATTTTTTTACCGGTTATTATTATTATTATTATTATCACGGCGCTACAACTCGGTGACGTATCTTGGCCTCCTCCAGTCATCTCTGTTCTGTGCGGCCTTCATCCAACTCAGTATTATTTATTAAATTTTTATATTTATAGTTATTTCTCTATTATTTGTATATGTTGTATGAATGAGAATTTTTAGCCTTAATAATTATAGGCCTCCAACAGTGGCTGATTTTATTATTATTCGATAAATAAAGTTTAACTATTAAAGTTTCAAAAAAAAGATTTGAATATTTTTTTTATATTATTTCTTAATGATATTTACAACTGTATTAAATAAATACATCTAGTATATTTGAACATATGGATTTAATGACATAAAAACACTTGCTGAGTAACTATCCAATGGTAGCATTCTAATGATATTTCTACATTAGGAGATCACGGGGCCATCTTCTTTTCAGACGCCTCGGAGGGTTATCAGGAATTGAAGAGGAAGCAAGGTTAGAAACGAAATGGTTGGGATGATTCTGAAGTTTAGTATGGAAGGATGGGTATCTGGATTGGGCCAGATCTAAAACATAAGAAACATTAAGGTCATTATGGATGGTTTTATTTGTAACAAAGCAGGGAGCATTGAGGATTTAACGAAGGATTTTGTATTGTAAGGATTGGATACGTGTGGAATTTGATGGTTTAGTGGAGCCCTATAGCTCAACTCCGTAAGTCCAAATAGGCCTTATTATAGTCATGTATATGAGTATTTTGTAATTAATTGGAAGTTTAGAGCGTTTGTCTAGTAAGTGCTGAAGTAATCGGAAACGTCGAGCGTTTTCTTGTCGTTTCAGTCTAGTATGAGAATTCCAAGTTAGTCGTTTGTCCAGGTGGAGTCCTAGGTATCGTATTTGCTCAACAGGGATAAGTGGAATATTGTTAAAGGAAATTGTAGGACAGAAAGTCATTGGTTTACGAAGATTTCAATATGAATTATGAAAGTATTTTCGAATACAAGTAAAATAACTATTACTTGTCTGCTATTCCTAAGCCGGTGCTTTCAAATTTGGCTGTGGTCTAAATTTGCCAAAAAATCACCCACGTCGTAGGATAAATTAGACTTTTATATATCTATATCACTACTAAAAGGTGTCGTTTTTGTGCAGCAACTGTCCTTTGTTGCAGTAAATTTCAAACCTAGCGACTGTAATTACTTTCATTCGTTGTTTAAATTTTAATTACTTGCATCCCAAACTCTTCAATCGCAAATCACAAGCCTTGAAGAATGGTGTAAAAACTGGAGGATTAAAATAAATTCTAATAAATCCCATCAAATCACCTTTACCCTTCGACGTAAACCTATGACCTCATGTCCCACAGTATCCTTTAATAATACCCCACTTATCCCTGTTGAACAAATCCGATACCTTGGACTTCACTTGGACAAACGTCTAACTTGGAATCCTCATACCAGACTGAAACGACAAGAAACCGCTCGACGTTTCCGACTACTGCAACACTTACTAGACAAACGCTCTAAGCTTCCAGTAAATTACAAAAGACTTATATACATGACTACAATAAGACCTATTTGGACTTACGGAGTTGAGCTTTGGGGCTCCACTAAGCCATCAAATTCCTCTCGTATCCAATCCTTACAATAAAAAAACCTTCGGAAAATCCTCAATGCTCCTTACTTTGTCACCAATAAAATAATCCATAATGACCTTAATGTTCCTTATGTTTCCGATTTGGCCCAATCCAGATACCAATCTTTCCATAATAAACTTCAGAACCATCCGAATCCTCTCGTCTCTAACCTTGCTTCCTCTTCTATTCCTGATAACCCTCCGAGGCGTCTGAAAAGAAGATGGCCTCGAGATCTCTTATTGTAAATACATTTTGTTTTTAGAGTGCTACCAATGGGTAGTTTCTCAACAATTCATTTCATGTTTTTATTTTCTGTTATCAAATTTACTTAATGTATTTAATTTTTTAATACAGTTGTAAATATCATGTATAAATAAATAAAAAAAAAATTTTAATTACAAGAAATACGTGTTATATATAAAAGAAATAGTGCTGTCTGCCTATGTTCGGTTGTGGAAATTCATTGGCAAATTAGAATTTTAAAAAATGCAATTATAAGAAAAATGATCAATCTGCTTATCCTGTGAAATCCTGCGGCATACAATCATTGCTGACTTCTGTAATTAATGAAAATACCTTGATATGGATCGTACAACTCCACTGACCTGGGGGTAGTCGCCCTCGGAGGAGAGGTGCTGGAAGTGCAAGAAGTAGGTCCTTCCACCTGCCGCCGAGTGAAGGTGGCCCAACCTGATGAGGGGGGACACGGTGTGCCCGTCAGAGAGGACTTCCAGGGTGGCGTCCCTCACCGACAGCGGGTTCTGGCTGGGCCGCTCCCAGTCCGTGTACTCGTTCTTCAGGGTCGAGAAGATCTCGTTCAGGTGGAACAGGTACGAGTTCCGGACGAAGGTTCGCAGGATCCTGGAGAAAGGAAAAGAGGTACTTATTTATATGCAACAATTACAATTATAATAACAGTTACGATATTTTCTATTTATTTATAGAAATTTACAACTGCCTTATATAAATATATTAAACAATTAAGAACCAATCAGGAATAATGACATTAAAAGTCTTGAGTAGATACTATCCAATGGTAGAACTCCCTAAATAGTTCTGAGTAAGAAGATCACGAGACCATCTTCGAGGCGCCTCAGAGGATTATTAGGGATTGAGGAAGTAGAAAGGCTAGAGATAAGTGGATTCTGATAAGTATGTCATAAAAGGATTGATATCTGGCACATTAAGATTTCTTCTGTTCATTATTCCTAGAATTGTGGTGTATTGAGGTTTTATTACTTTCACTTACGTATATATGTAATTGCCATCGTAAAAAATTTTTAATCTGAATTTTTAACGGAAATACATATTTTAAGGTACCCTGAGTCCAAATAAGCAAGTCCCGAAAAATGGTCTGTGTGTTTCTATGTCAGCAGTCTAGTTCTACGTATTTAAGATATGGCTTAGATGTTCTAGTAATTTTTTCCTTAAAATTGGCTAACCGGAAGTACCACTTTTTATAAACCCAGAAACAAATTTTTACAATTTTCTCAAAAACGGCTCTAACGATTTTGATTAAACTCGGTGTATCATTGTATAATGAAGTGGTCTTTAATATCAATTAGGTTTTATCCCCGTTGGTGTCACTTTACAGGGCTTAAATACATCATGTTTATATTCGTATTCCTCTAAAGTACCTTTAATATGGTTTATTTTAAATAATTAACTATCTCTCGTTATTAAAAGTTACTAAAATGCTAAATATAGCTTTCAAAAGAATTTGATAATTGAATAAAGGAGAAAAAAATAAAAGTGCTAATACAGATCGATAATTAATCTAAGGAAATACCAGTCAGAAGGTATACGTATAATATATCGTTGGAAAGCGAAGAATTTTAGAAAAAAAAATATCTAATATAGAAAGTTGTAGAAGGTAAAGGAGAGTAGCGAAAACATTATAAATAATAATGTCAGAAAACTAAGAATATTTAACGTGAATCACATGTTTCCAAGGAAATTGAATGAAATTTTCTTACTATATGTTAACTTTTAAATGTTTTTCTAAGATTGAAAAAAAAAGTATTTGAAATCCACTGAATCAAGCCAATGTCATTGTTTAAAATTCTATTTCATTGTACTTGTGTGAAAGCAGAAATAAAATATAAATATATTATGATTTGTTATCTGTAAACTTGAAGCTTTAGCTACGTTTAAAATTCACTACAAAAATTTTATAATCGTCCACCATTGCCAGAAAATAATTTCTATCCCAAGTAGAGCGGTAAGTGAAAGTTGTGTTTTGTGCGCACCAGATTGTTTATATATTTATTGAAATTTACACTTTGATCTTAGCCAATATGGCTAGAAGCGATATGTGCCGACCTCGGTGTTATTAAAAACTTAATATTGCTCCTTAAGGGAATCAAAATTTAATCATATCTAGAAATTTTTACAAAATTTTATCACATCCTTTAATTGTAAATATACCGGTAAATGTTTCTTCTTTTAAAATTAATTTTTAATTGTAATCGATTTCAAATTTTCTTTTTGTAATTATTTAATATTTAAATTGTACTTTTTAACTTTTCTTCGTTTAATTTTTTTTTGTTGTCAAAAAATGTATTTGCGCCTGTCAACTTCTTGTAGACAATCAGCAAATGTGATGGCGATAATGATATAATGACATGACAGGCATGGGGAAGGAAAGTACTCAGCAGTACCTCTTCCCTAACTTGTTCCAATTACTTAGGTTGATTAAGGAAGGAGATCCCTCATCCAACGCCTTTTTGGTCTGCTGCTCATGTTCCGAGGTATGTCAGCTGTGGCCATGTCTCTTATAAGCCTGTTATTATGTCCGTTTAAATTAGTGTAAAATCGTTGATAAAAGATCGTTATATGTTGGTCAACTGTTGGAAAGTGGAAGTCAGTATGTAGGATTTTGTTAGTCACGTACCAAGGTGCTTTTGTTATGAGTCGGAATAATTTTGATTGGAAGGTTTGAAGTTTTTGTAGGTGGATCTTTTTAGCGATACCGCTTATTCGTGATAAGTACATCCATATTGGCTTAAGTAAGTATGTATATGTATTCAGTTTCTGTTTTAGTTTTAGTTTTTGAAGATTTAAAAAAAAAAAAAGAGAGTTTAGTAGTTTGAATCGTTTTTAAGTGTCTTACGTTTCATTTTTTACATGCCATCCTTCTGTCAAAGGTGAGTCCAAGGTAAAATACTGTGTCCGTTTGAGGAATTTGATTGTTTTCAATATAAACTGGAGGGCAAGTGTTTTTTCGAAGAGTAAATCTTATATGTTTGGATTTGTCATGATCAAGTCGCATTTTCCATAGTTTGAACCAATCTTGTAATTCTTAACTTCTCTTCTATTAATATTAATTTTATTTTTTTTTACTTTTATTTGAATTTCTTTGTTAAGTTATCTTTTTTTATGTAACAAATATTAATATTAATATTTAGAAAATCTAACTCTTCTAATAATATTAATTTTTATTTTTTAAAATGTATTTTTAGATTTTGTTCTTAAAATCGTTAACCTTTATCAACCTTTAAACATTTACTTTCAATTTGGTTAACTTTAATTCAATTGTACTATCATATACATCTGTAACTATTTTTAACTTTCTAAACTTTAAATTGTATTTGTTAGCTGTAGTTTTGTTATGTACTAGTTTATCCAATTGTAATATACAGCGAAAATGACCCAGGTGGTTGAAGTGCCCAAAACATTTATAAACTGCCTTAAATAAATGTATTTAATAATTATGAATAATGACATGAAAAAACTAGTAGAGATACCAACCAGTGGTAGCACTCCCTAAATAGATTTAAGTAAGAAGATCACGAGACCATCTTCTTTTCAGAAGCCTCAGAGGGTTATTAGAAATCGAGGAGGTAGCAATGCTGAAAACAAGTGGATTCAGGTGGGACTGGAGTTTATCATGAAAGGATAGATATCTGAGTCGAACCAAATTATAGAAATATGAAACATTAAGCAATTTACAAAGAATTTCAAGTTCTAATAATTGTATATGGCAGTATCCACGAAAAGAAAAGTGTGTTTTTGTTCCACCCTACTGCAAATATTGAAAATATTTTATAAAAAGTTTCCTATAGATAATTATAATTATTTCTATATGGGAGAATTATAATTCCCTATAGTATATACCATATTTCACTAAGCAAGGTTCAAATTTAGAACGGACTGTGGAAGTATTTTAACAATTATTTCATTATCGACCACAAAACAATTTAAAAATATAAATTATGAGAATAAAAAAAGATATTTTAAAGGCGAACATTCAGGTTTATTCTCATTTTTCTAAAACAATTTTTATACTATACAGCTTTATCCATATTGCTTCCAACCATATTAATCTATCGGTTCCTAACTTCCTGATTCCTGCGAAAACCCTTTTGACTTTTCACTTCAACAGACCATCTTTGTTAGTAGTTGGCCGTTGCTTCGAAAAACGCATTTGAACGCTCTCAAGCGCGACGTTCTGTTATATGCTCTGATGGTTCCACGGTAAGGATTTTCCTTGTAGGGGAAAGCAGGAACCTCATTCAGTTGTTGAGGACTTTTCCGATTCGAATCATCTCTGATTCAAAGCTTTAAGAGTAGGATTAATAATCGGCATGAATAGACGAATTGAGATTTCATAATTTAATTTAAACCTTAATGGTGGATAGATGGTTGATTGTAATGAATAATTGAAGAGAATGGTCGGGGTGATCAGTACAAAAAAATATATATATATATACTTATTTATTTTTACTTTTTTTTGGCTGATCACCCCAATCATTCCTATCTTCAATTTAATTTAAATAATTTAATACACCTTAAAAAATCCTTGAAATTAGCCAGAAAAGCAAGATGTAGTAGTACCTAACCGGCAAGTTCAAATAATTTGCAATAATTTTTTTCAATGAAAGTGACAAAATAATTTTTTTATTTATTAATTATTACAACGATCTGTCTATTGGACAATGGTTATAGTGAGGTAGGATAACATTCACACTATATGTACAAAAAATATAAAATAATGAGAAGCAAAATAATAACCAAAAGTATATACAATAAATAATAAAATAAAATAACCTAAAAAATAACAAAATTAAAAATTAGAAAAAAAAAACACACGCATACCTATATTCACTATTTACAATCAGATAAGGGAACTCCAGGAGAATCCTGCGCTACTCCCCCAGCCGCATCACTAGTATTAGAAGCCAGTGGAGACTGGAAGAGGGCACTAGAGCCACAGACGCTCAGGACATGAGTGAAGAATCTGGCCATTGCCAGAACTCCAATTTATACAATCTACAAAAGGTCTCGAGGCCACTGCCGTTTCAATCTTCTTGGAGGATTAGAGGGACGGGTTCTTGATAGGGATTAGTAAGGTTCTGGCGGTACATATATTAAAATAGGAACAATACAGACAAAATAATAAAGAAATAAAAATGCAACAATCAATAGGATGAGAGAACCAATAATTATTTTAACGGTAATTTTGACCTACCAAGGAAAATAAATTTAACATATAACTTTATTAATGTTTTAAACTAATATGTTTACAAATTTAAATAAGATATCTCTTTTCTAATAATGATCTGATTTCGATATTTTTTTTTGTATGAAATTTAGTAACTTTTCAAATAATCATGGGTACAATAAACCATAGAATCTATATGAGAAGGAGTTAGTAGGGGGGGCGCGGTCAGATAAATACTAAACTAAAATATAGTAATCATTTAATCTATTTATTAGTTAACATTTATTTTATTTATCTGTTAAACCCACAGTTATCTCATGTAATCTCTATTAAATTGTTATACACTTATTCCTTATCTTTTATCGCAATCTGTTTACTTTTAACATACATGCTATATTCTCCTTTATTTTTATTTTAATTCATACTTATTTTCCATGTATTTGTATCTTCTACATATATAACACTTAATATTTTACTAAATTGTCACCCACTATATCTCTGATATCATCTTTTATTTCTGTATCTGACAACTTCTTTTTATTTTATATCTACTTATATTTAATTTTTATTCTCAACATGTTTTGTATCTTTTGTAGCCCTGAAGACGACCTGCAAAGTGGGTCGAAACGTCGGAAAAATTAAAATAAAATAATTACTATATTTTAATTTAGTATTTATTTGACCGCACCCCCCGATTAACTCCTTCTCATATTATATCAACGGTCAACCATCTCTACATCACATAGAATCTATAATTTTTTCGTTATTCGGAAATAAATTTACTTTTCCTTAATAACATTTTTCTTTTAATTTCGGAGAAATAAGATCATTACTACCTGAAGAAGGAGGAAATCTACAAAATTATAGCTCAATCTTTGGAATGATAAAGTTCGTTAATTTAATGAAGAATTAACGAATAGTTAATAATAAAAGGCTTAGCGAACCCGGAGGTTCGATGCCGAAACCACCAATCGCTTATTACACACCTCCGTCCACCATCCAAACCCAGTCCCTTCAGATCAGCTTTAATGAAATCTTCCCACCTTCGCTTCGGTATACCCCTCGGACGTTAACCATTCGGTACAGCAAATATTAACCTTTTAGGAATTCTTTCGTTACTAAGCACAACTATTTTACAAGCCCATTTGATTTGCTGCGATGTAATAACCTCAATTATATTAACCGGATAAATTGCACGCAATTAGGCGATGTGTAACCATCTGAACTCTCTAGTCAACTCATCCATCTTCGGTCAGAATATTCTACACCTCAACTTATCTACTAAAGCCTATATATACATATAGGCTACATATAAATATACGGAACAGCCGAAACGACTCACATACCAAAACTACAAACCTTTCAGTCAAAAACTTTTAAGACTATAACTAAAGATCCATGGTCTTTATAAGACTATACATCACAAACGTTACTTTACATAAAGGTATAAATATGCCAACAATTAACGATCATATATGGACACAGTGCTAAAAAATTCACTATAATTTACACGGACATACTAACACAATGATATAAGACATGGCCAAAATGACCATGCCCGAAAATACTCTTCGGAGACGCAAAAGAAGCTGGATGAGGGATTTCCTCTCCTAAAAACGTGCAGAATTCAAGTCAAGAAGGGATGCCACTGAGTACTCCTCACCCTCGCTAATTGTCAGTACTTCTGATAGGTGTGGGTAAAAATATATAAACTTAAACAAAAATAAAAAAAAAACATCGGAGTAGGGATGAATTTTCGAAGAGAAAACTTATTTAGAGACGTTTTGAATTATTTATGTGGGAAGTGAATTATATTTAGATCAAATATTTTTTTTATTTATTACTTTTAAATATGTAAAATTAAAACTGCCTTATAAAAATTAAAACCATTCAATAGAATTTTTTTTTTTGTCTAGAAAATATGTATTTGCGCCTGTCAACAATAAGTTGACAATCAGCAAATGTTATGGCCATAATGATAAAATGACATGACAGGCATGGGGAAGGAAAGTACTCAGCAGTACCTCTTCCCTAACTTGTTCCAATTACTTAGGTAATCTAAGGAAGGAGATCCCTCATCCAACGCCTTTTTAGTCTCCTGCTCATGTTCTGAGATATGTCAGCTGTGGCCATGTCTCTTATAAGTCTGTTATTATGTCCATTTAAATTTGTGTAAAATCGTTGATATAGGGTCGTTATATGTTGGTCAACTGTTGGAAAGTGGAGGTCAGTATGTAGAGTTTTGTTAGTCACGTACCAAGGTGCTTTTGTTATGAGTCGCAATAATTTTGATTGGAATTAATAAGTTTTTGTAGGTGGGTCTTTTTAGCGATGCCGTATATTTGTGATGAGTATGTCCATATGGGCTTAAGTAAGTATGTATATGTATTCAGTTTCTGTTTTAGTTTTAGTTTTGAAGATTTGGCAAAAAGAGAGTAAAGTAGTTTGAGTCGTTTGTTAAGTGTCATGCGTTTCATTTTAACATGTGGGCCCCATGTCATCCTTCTGTCGAATGTGAGTCCAATGTAAAGTATCGTGTCCGTTTGAGGAATTGGATTGTTGTCAATATAAACTGGAGGGCAGGTGTTTTTTCGAAGAGTAAATGTTATATGATTGGATTTGTCATGATTAAGTCGAATTTTCCATAGTGTGAACCAATCTTGTAGTTTATGCAAATGATGTTGAAGAGTTAGTGAGGCCTGTGTAGGGTCTTGATGTTTTGCGAGGATTGCTGTATCGTCTGCATATGTAGCTGTCAAGATCTCATCGTCTTGATTTTGATTTTTTTAACTATTTGTTAAATGGTCCACTTTATTTTCAAATATCATAAATATTTTATATTAAACGGCAATGATAAGAGAGATGTTGAAGATGATTACATGTACCAAAATAAATATATTTTATATAATATGTATATACCTATACTGGCAAGCGATATTTTATTATAATTCAATAAGTATATCCAATCTGGTTGTTAACATGTTTTAGATGTGAAAATATAATTATTACCCACGTCAGAGAACAACCCAGATTTATCGAGAGCACTATATATCCTGTATGTTGACAGAGAGAAGAGTTGTAAATCAATAATTAGCCGAAATTCGTTTATCGAATGCTTTGTAGGCTAGCGCATCGGTGGGATATCCTTTTCTGATTCCTCGAAACTTTAATTAGTCTGTTATGAACCTGAATAAAATCATCTCTGGTGAGCTTCTGCAAATGCCTAGATCAATTTATATCACATAACATAAATCTTGAACGCCTTGTTGTCCATTTTGGTTTATCATTTTCAAAAATGAACTATTGTAATCGTACGAAAAATTCAAAAACTTAAATCCCCTCGAAAATGAGGTTTTACGTTTCAGGATACGTAAAATTCGAAATTGAATACAAATTTTAATCTGTCCGCCGTACGCGCATTTTCTCCGCGACTACTGGACCGATCACTAAAACATTTCATTTAAATTAGTGACCATAACTTTCCATAATTTTTCCACTTTCCATAACTTTCCATAATTTTTCCACTTTCCATAACTTTCCCTTCTTAGTAGAAATAAGTGCAGAGATGAAATATTTAAGTGTAAGTTATTTAGTTTTCTTAGTGCATCCTGGTTAATGTATATTTGTATCGTATATATTGTATAATTATTACCCGATTAAGTGAGGGTTATGTGTTTCGGTCGTCCGGTAAAAGCTACGAAACGCTTTTATGTGCGAAAGGCTGAATCGATTTTTAAGTTAGATGACTCAAATTATTTTTTTAAGATCTCCAAAATGTTTAGAAAAATGTTAGCTAAAAATACTGAACCTTGATTAAATAAAACATGTTTAATCAATTTGCTAAAGGCCTTGGAAGGCTGATTTGACCCAACGGCTAGATAGGTTTTTGAATTTGGTATCTCAAATTATACGGTGAGATCCCTGAGTGTTTGAAACAATTTGAGCTAAAAATAATGTAAAATTACTGTGTAAAGTTAGCGTAAAATATTAAAGAATAAATCGAATTATTTTTATTTTTAAATATTATCACTAAAATGGTTTGCCTATAAAACTTATTTAACGCTTCTCTCTAATTTAATTCAGTTTTGTGTATATATATTTTTTTTTACACCAGTAGTGTAATATTCTAACCCAAGTACCCATCTACTCTCCTCAAATCTATGTATATACTTAGTTAATTACTTAGATTTTCGGCATTCTTTATTGTAATAGGTCATCTTGGCAAATTTATTGTTGATTGGTATGGACAATATTGTTATTCTTAAAAGACTTAATCCCAGACTAAAGATGATTTTCTATTCATTCTTTTCTATTAAACTATATTTAATCAATCCCCTAAAAGGTACGAAAAGATTTTTAACTGTAATTACGCATAGATAGATACACATAAATAGAATTTTAACTGTAATTACGCATAGATAGATACACATAAATAGATTTTTAACTGTAATTACGCATAGATAGATACACATAAATATATTTTTAACTGTAATTACGCAGTTAAATCCTGTGAACGTTTAGAAACAATTCGAGCCCAACATACTGATAAAAAAAAAGTTACTAAAAAAAAAACGATTTGAAATGATTTCGTGTGATTATGTTAGGAAAATGAATTGTAAATATTTTAAAATATGAAAAAGTTAAAATAGAAAGTACTTCAATTAAAAAAAAAAAAAAAAAAATCTGTTGCGCGCAACACACAACTTTCACTTACCGATCTACTTTGAATAGAAATTATTTTCTTGCAATGCTGGGCTATTATAAAATTTCAAGTGCATTTTAAACGGAGCTAAAGCTTAAAGCT